GCCTATTTAACAAATACACTGAAGTATGAACAGCTTCTGCCCAAAAGCTTTGTGGCAGTTTCTTTTCCAGCAGCAAACATCTTGCCATTTCAACTACTGTTCTGTTCTTCCTCTCTGAGACTCCATTTTGTTCGGGCGAATAGCTTACTGTCAACTTGTGATCAATCCCCATATCTTCACAATACTTATTGAACTCATTTGAAGTGTATTCGCCACCATTGTCCGACCTCAAAGCCTTTAGCTTACAACCACTTTGTCTTTCCGCAAAAGCTCTAAATTTCTTGAAAACTGAAAATACTTGAGACTTGTTACTCAGAAAATACACCCAAGTCATCCTTGTTAAGTCATCAATAAAGAGCACAAAATATTTATTGTGTCCCAAAGATGATGCCTGCATAGGTCCACACACATCAGTGTGAACTAGTTCAAGTTTTTCAGTTGCCCTCCAGGTAGCACTTTTAGGAAATGATTTCCTGTGTACCTTACCCATCTGACATGACTCACAAACTTCTTTAGACAGTGAAATCTCAGGTAAATCCTTAGTCAAGCCCTTTTCATACATAGACTTTAAAGTAGCATAGTTAAAATGACCATATCTTTTGTGCCACAACCATGACTCATCCTTACTTGCAAAATTTGCACTATCAAACCTCCCATCTAAAGGAAAAGTTTTATCCACCATTCTTACTTTAACAATCAAACTATCTTCGGAGTCAAAAATCAAACAATGTTTGTCCTTAAAAAATAAGGAATAGCCTTTAGACATCATTTGAGCCACACTTAACAAGTTACATGCTAAAGAAGGAACATACAACACATCATGTATAAACTTTGTACCTTGTGTAGTTTGAAAGGCAACTGAACCCTTTCCAAGTGCATCTACCGTCTCACCATTTCCCATCCTTACTTTAGTTTTGATTGACTTGTCAAGTGTATGAAACATGAGCTCATTGTGTGACATATGACTCGTACATCCACTATCTATGAACCATGAGGATTTGTTGGTTGTGTTTTCTTCATGAGAAGCCATAAACAAGCTTTCTTCTTCATTTTCAGATTTTTCAACAAAATTTGCCTGCTGCACATGGTTTTGTTGTGGTTGATTCTGCCTGGCCCTACAATTTTTCTCAATATGATCCATCTTTCTACAAAATCTACATTGAATCGGTGGCTTTCCTTTGAACCAGCAGTCTTTTTCTTGATAAATATTGGTTCTTTTACAGTGGCTGCAAGGTGGAAACTTCCCTCTCTTTGAAGATTCCTTCCTTGGTTTTCCCTTTTCTAATTTATCTCCTTCCATCCTTCTATTGTCCTTCATAGGCTGTTTGCCTTTATGTTGTGCTTGAAACGCCGCTTCTGCTACTTCTTCATCTCTTATACTTGATCTTTGTTCTTGGGCTTGCAACTTGCTGATCAGTTCTGCCACAGATAAAGTCTTCAAATCACAAGATTCTTCTATTGCTGAAATCTTGGACTCAAACCTTGCTGGTAAGCTTATCATCATCTTCTCCACCACCCTTGAATCTGGAAAGGTTTCACCAAACAGCCTTACTTTGTTTACAATCTCCATAAGTTTGGCAGAATACTCTTTCACAGTATCTCCTTCTTTCATCCTTAACATCTCAAATTCTCTTTTGAGAGTTAAGAGTTTGACAGCCTTCACTCTGTCACTTCCATCGAACTCCTCTTTTAGTTTCTCCCATACTTCTTTAGGTGTTTCACAAGCCATTATTCTTGTGAAAATCACATCTGAAAGTGCTGAATGAAGACATGTGAGAGCCTTGGGTTTCCTTGACTTCGCATCTTCATAATTCTTCATTTGTGCAACAGTTGGATTTGGTCCAAGTGGAAGAGGATCATCTTCACTTTCAATTGTTTCCCGAATTTACTACGCCCATTATCCACAGAGATATAGCGTCATCTAAAGTGATAATAGATCAGAATAGCGGCGTGGCCAAAATTTTGGACTTCTCACTCTCCATATCTTTGCCTCAGGAAAATTGGAAATGAAATCAGAAGATGGTGTGCTCGGAACAATCGGGTATATAGCTCCTGAAAATGGCTTCTATGATATTATTACTCAAAAAATTGACGTCTACAGCTTCGGGGTTCTTCTCTTTGAGCTATTAACTGGAAAAAAAATGGTTGAAATGGTGGATTCTGCAATTTCAAAAGAGCCAATAGATTGTGAAGAAGACAACAAATCCAATATTGAAGAGCGTAATGCTATGGATACATCTTTTGAAAATCTTCCACCCAACAGTGTTGATCGCTATATTAAAGAGAACAGTGTAATAGATAGAGTGGATCCTACCATTTTCGAAGAGCATGGAATCGAAATTCAACAACAATTGGAAGACTACTTAGACCTTGTTAAGAGATGCACAACTTACAACGGAGAAAACAGACCATACATGATTCATGTTGCAAGGGAATTACGCCGAATTGAGAAATGCTTCCGTGCCCTCACTATTGGTCAAAATTAAATGTTTGTTTTAATACATGAGGTGAAAAAAGAAGTTTGCTTCTACTGTCATATTTATGTTGAACAATAAATGAGATCTGCAGACAATGAAGTTGCCAATCTAGTACTTACTTTTGTGCTCTATTTGGGATGCATCTAACTTGATCTTTTTGTTACAGACTAAAAAAATGAGACACCATGTTAGTTTTGTATTTGACATCTAATAACTTTCATTCATTCGTTTCAGACTATGCAACTGCATATATTTACCATTTTCCTTGTTGACCAGGCGTTGTGTTGTGTGTCACCACCTTCCACCTATCTTACACATTCAATAAAAGTTGTCACTGTGAAGCTATGGTTAAGGTGCACGGTGGATTGTCACTTTTCAGCTCATGCAAAAGGTCCTCTCTACTAGGAAAGCAGAGAATTTCTCTAATTTTAACATATTGATAGGTTTTGTTTAGTCAGGCTGGAGAATCTTATATGAGCTAGGCTAGTTTTTTTAGTAGTTATAATTTGTTAATGTGTAATTACTACTTGGAAACCGTAATTTTAATCCCTGCAGTGACTACTACTGGGAAGGCACATAATCAAATAGCATCCCTTGGGAATTACAAAATTTAACACAGAATAAAAACAAAAGCAGTGTGAATTTCTATTAATTCCTAGGAGAATTTACTTCGTGATCACAATTCACAAGCATAAACCTCAAGTCAGTTCATAGCGATACGATTTATCATAGTGTCCACACAAATAAGACTAACCAAGGTAGGAAAAGCAAAAGTATAGAATTGAAGTTACAATATGTGCCTGTTGCATAGCACAATCTTTAGCATCTCTATGAGGCACCCTTGACACCGCTGGTAGAAGGATTAGTGACTTGTCTATAACACCAGTTTACATTTGCTGCAAACTGTACGCAGGTTTTTGAAACAAAATTTATGCCATAAAGAAAGGAGACGAGACAAGCCATTTTTTGTCTCTGGAATATTAGAGTAAGCTTTTGGGACAATTTCCTTGTTTTAGCTGGAGACAAGACAAGACAAGCCAATTCTCAAATGATCTAAACTACTAGTAGCATGTTCATCCAGAGCTATAAAAAGGGGAAGTTATGCTTTGCTTATTTTAGGTCCTCGAAACTTGCTTTCATTAAGAAGCAAAAAGAGGAAACTCCACATGGCACAACAATTTGTAAACCATCTCAAGAAACTTGCAACACTTTTAATTAGATTGAGGACTTGAGTGGACATAAAACACCTATGGTATCTTAGAGAACAACTATACAGTGGCAGCACTGGAAAGTGCATTGTGATAAGTTAGCAAAATATCAATTGTCAATTAAATAGTATTTGAGTACAATTTAATAACCTAAACTAACTTAAGTTGGTCAATTTCAGCATTTGGAACCCAAGAAAGAAAAGCATGAAGAATTTGATGAAGAATGATGAAAAAATGGGAAGTTGGAGCAAAAGATTAAGAAAAGAGAAGACACAAAAATCATGCCCATGTAAAGCCAGTAGAAGAACTTGAATTCGGATAAGTCTGAGAATGAGAAGATCTGATTCAGTCCACGAAAATAAATGACTAGACGAAATTGCTCCACAAAATTGAGAAGTCTGGAGTTAGCAGAAAAACAGGAGACAAAACAAAACGTCGCCACAATTTAGCTCCAGGAAAATCACCTGAAGCTTGAAGAAACAAAACCTAAAGAAAAGCAAGAGCAACGTGGAGACAAAAATATTTCGGCTCCACGAAATTGTGTGCAAAGGGCATTTTTGTCCCAATGTAACTATAAATAGGAATTAGGTAATCTTCTTGGGAAGTTTTCAATCTTCTAAAAGTATTGAGGAGCATTCATAGCTAATATTTGAAGGATTAGGAGGCTATTCACTATAGAGTTTGTGTTAACCAACTAAAGTACTTAATCACCTGAGTTAAATTAAAACTGTTTGCAACGAACTCACACACCTAACTACAGTTAACTGAGTCAACTCCTTAAGATAAACCAAAATATTTAATGTAGAACAGAGTAATTAATTGATAGGGTGACGACATTAGGTAGAACTTGACAAACAATGGCGATGAAAGTGCTTGGAAATTCAGAAGAGAGTCCAATCAATCGCCATCATTTGTGTGGATTCAACACACAAATAAAGACCAGCAGGAAATTTCTTCCAAGTTGTTCATAAATTACACTAGTGATGATGGTATGCCTTATTAGATTTAATCCCAATGCACATAACCTAGTGGACACCAGAGAATAGAGACTTCAAAATCAGCACAAGGTATTGCAAGAAAAAATGTACTTCTTCAGGGTACTAACAAGGAAAAGACTTTTTTCCTCTGCCTCAGCAGAAAGGCGGAAGAAAGAGGAGGATTGTTATTTAAAGAATGGAGGTGCAGTGCTAGAAGAGCTTCTTGCTTTATGCGATGGAAATTGCAGAATTCCCATCCGTTATTTCACTGCCACTGAGATCGAGAGGGCAATAAAACACTCTAAAAGCAAAATGGAGCTCTCCCATGTGTCTATGGTTACAGGCTCACTGGACAACCGCTCCATTTTAGTTAGGTTCAGTAGATGTCAATTCACCAATATCCACCGAGATATAGCAATTACTGCTCAGATGAGTCATCTCAAGAATGTGCTGAGACTTGTTGGTTGCTGTCTAGAATTTGAAGAACCAGTTATGGTGTACGAATATGTTGAGGCTATAACTCTCAGCGATCTACTTTTCAGAGAGGGTGATCATAAGACCAAAAGATCATTATCTTGGGGAAAGAGATTGCGAATTGCCAATGAGGTCGCTTCTACAGTTGTTTTTCTCCATACAGAATTTACTACACCCATCATCCACAGAGATATAAAGCCTCACAAAGTGATGATAGATCAGAACAGCGGCATTGCCAAAATAATAGACTTCTCCTTGTCTATGTCATTACCTCCAGGGGAATTGGAGGTACAAGATGCTGTACTGTGCGGAACATTTTGGTATTTAGATCCAGAATATGCCTCCCTGGGTATTGTTACTCAAAAAACTGATGTCTACAGCTTCGGAGTTCTTTTCTTTCAGTTATTAACCGGAAAGGAATCTCTTGATAGTATGCAATCCAATACTGAAGAAGGTAATGTTATGGATAGAGTGGATTCTAGAATTTATGAAGAAACAACAGATTTTAAAGATCCAAATCCACCAACCATGGTTGAGCTCTACATTAAAGAGAGTAGTGCAATAGATATAGCAGACTCTACCTTTTTGGAACAGCACGGTATTGAGATTCGACAACAATTGGAAGACTACTTGGATCTTGTAAAGAAATGCACAACGTATAAAGGAGAAAACAGACCATATATGATTCATGTTGCTAAGGAATTACGCCGAATTGAGAACTGCTACCGTGCCCTCACTATTGATCAAAATTAAATATTTGTTTTAATACATGAGGTGTAAAATGAAGTTTGTTTATACCATCATATTTATGTTGAACGATAGTCAATAGATGAGATCTGCAGACAATGAAATTGCCCATTTAGTTTTTAGGACCTGGGAAAAAGTTACTACTAAATGCTAGAACCGACTTTTGTGCTCTATTTGGACTGAATCTAAGTGTATTGTGTTTCAATTATCACACATTTTGCTGCTGATATTATTTCTTTCTTGTAAGCTCTACACTACTTTTCATATCACTGTTATACTTTCTTCATTGTTTTCTTCTTTTTTACTTGAGTTTAATGCACTTGAGCCGAAGGTCTTTCACAAACAGCCTCTCTACTTCAGTTCCACGAGGTAACGGTAAGGCCTGCATACACTCTACTCTCTCCAGCCCCCACTTAGTGGGACTTCACCGGGTATGTTGTTGTTGTTGGATTGAATCTAATTGATCTTAGTGTTTGAATACTAAAATAAAGTGAGACCATGTTAGTTTTGTAACTTACATCCAATTACCTTTTAGTAGTTTCAGACTATGCCACTGCTTATATTTACACTTGATTTTTACCTTTTTCCTTGTTAATCAGGCATAAAACATTTCAGTGCTTACGAAACCAAGTATCTAAATTCTTCAAGCACAAGATACAGGTTGTTGTTTTTTGAGGAAGGTAAAATCAACCACAGGATACATGTTCCTTGTTCGACCCATTAAAACAAAATGTAAGATGGGATTGTAACTTTTCAGCTCATGCTAAAGGTCCTCTCTACTAGGAAAACAGACAGATTCTCTGATTTTAACATATTGATAGTTCTTGTATAGTAAAGCTGGAGAATTTATCATGAGCTAGGCCAGGTTCACATAGTTTTTTTTTTGCTAAGAGGCTCACGTAGTTATAATTGTGAGTTTGCAATGACTACTCGGAAGCCACAACTCTAATCCCAGAGTTTATGCAGCTACTATATAGATGGTTATTACTACTGGGAAGGCACATAATTAAACAGCATCTTTTAGGCATCACAAAATTTAACACAAAAGCAGTGTGAATTTCTCTTGATTCCTAGGAGAAACTACTTTGTTATCACACGCATACAATATCAAGTTAGTTCAAGAGAAGGGAGATTAGTGACTTGTCTATAACACCAGTTTGCTGATGCTGCAAACCCTCCAAAGGTTTTTGAATCAAAATTGACTCTATAGAGAAAGGAGAAGGGGCTGTAACAATAGATATATGTAGATGATAAACTTTTTGCGAATCCACTGAAACGAGCTAAGGAAATTGCCTTCTTCCACTGGAAACAAACCATTTCAGTCTCTGGAATAATTAGAGTAAGCTTTCGGGATAATTTCCTCGTTTTAGCTGGAGACAAGACAAGCCATGGAGCCAATTCTCAAATGATCTAAATTACTAATAGCCTATTCATCCAGATAAGCATTAGGTATAAAAAGAGGAAGTTATGCTTATTACAGGTCCACGAAACTTGCTTTCACTAAGAAGCAAAAGAGGAAACTTCACATGGCATAAGGTGAAAGACAAAAAACTTAAGAGAGATAACACCAGGAACTAGAACTACATATTGAACCACAACAATTTAGAACCTTAGATTGACTTGTGTGTGACTACCAAGTAAATTAGTGGAAGACAAGAGGCACAAGATTTTCAACTTAGCTCCTGGGATACGCGATAAAAATCACCTTTAAAGGATCAACCAATCCACGACGTGCGTCATGTATGCTCATCATTATTAGGCAAACTTTGCAAGCTCATATCAAATGCGATAAAATTTCATGTCATACAAACTCCTGAATCAAAATCTTCATAATTTAATTGGCTCCAAGAATAAAATGATCTCTTTTGAGGAACCGTTCCCAAGTTCCTGTAGGGCTAAGTTGTAACTTTGAGGGTCTTCATTTCAAAACCACATTCTTTCTTGGGACAATTTAAGGAAGGTGAAGGAGGTGGGTGAATGTATCTCCTTGCATAAAACCAGATATTAATCGAACACTCAAACCTTAATAACATAAAGATCTAGCAAAGGCAAGCTCTTCAGTTCTCATAAAACTACAAGGTGTCAGTAGGTGGTAAACTGTAAACATATTTCAAAAATGATTTACCCATAGGCATAACAAAACTTTATTTAGATACACTTTTAGGGCAACTGATTCTTTTATCCAAATCATAAAGCAGCCATCATAACACAGCCTATGCCCCTTTTTTTGTTAAAAAAAATGATAAGTACATAATACAGCCTATGTCGCAAAGCAAAGCCGGTCTCATGCCCGGATTAAAGAGAAACAATGCTAAGTTGACAGTCAGCATAAAAACAATCTAATTATAATGAATCAATGATGCAGCTTGATATTTAAGCGGAGAAGGAAAGAGCGGCACACCCCTTATCCCGAATTTCCAAGGGTGGGACTGGTCCTAAAGTTGGTCCAGACAGATTTCTCGGTCATCAAACAAAAAGCAAACTTATTATAATAAAATTGTGATAATCCTCCAGACATATAGTCAACCCAACTATTTTTGAATTCAAATGTAGTTTATCCATCGATTTATACTGAAAAAGGCATAAACAAAACACAAAGACAACTTTAAAGGTGCTGAATTTTTCACCAAGTCATACAACAAACACCATATTTATTATGCAATAATCTTTTTTCAGCAAGCATAAAGTACAGAACTTTAAAAAGTACTGAGCCAATTACCACTTGGAAAACTAAGCTTCTCGTGCAGAAATCATTCCAGCCTTTCTTGCATAAGCGAAAATGCCACCAGCTTCAATGACAGGACCAGCATCACCAATAGGCTTCAATTTATACTCTTTCCCAGTTGTATGATTAATCAATCTACTCTCCCCAATTTCAATAGTTAGCACATCACCAGTCTTACACTCCTCACAAATCCTCTTTTCCGATTCAAGCGGATAAACTTCACCAGTCGAAACTGAATTCCTGAAAAAGATCCTCGCATACGACTCCGCCACCACTGCCAATACACCAGCTGCACCTAAAGCAACCGGCGCGTGCTCACGCGATGACCCGCACCCAAAGTTGTCGCCACCTATGACGATGGAGTACTTTGACGTGAATTCACCCGGTTCGATGAAACGGGTTTGGTACGATGAGGGAAGTCCACATAGAGCGTACGACCCGAGTTTCTTGTACTCATCTGGATTTGAAGGTACAAGGGTTAGGTATTCTGCTGGGATGATTTGGTCAGTGTCGATATTATCTCCGAGGACGTAGCAGAGGCCGTGAAATGTGGTGGCGGTCTTGGTGGTTTCCGGTGTAGTAGAGGCGGCGGCGGAACGGAGAGGTGCGACAGTGGAGTTTTTCGGAGCTGAGACGGAATGCGAGATTAAAGGGTTATTGGAAGAGATTGATTGGAATTTGACGGAGGGGAGAGGGTTAATAGAGGAGGCGCGTGGTTGGAACGAAGAGGGTTTGAAGGTGGTGATGGAACTGGAAAGAGCTGTTGAAGCCGCCATTGATGAAAGCTCGGGGTGGCGTTGAAATGGAGATTGCTAATTTTTCGTTGAAAGAATGTACTAAAACGTGGGCAGACATCTTATTAGCTATATTGGGCCTTAGAATTTTTTAGCTATTGGGCTTACAATAGATCAGATTAGCAGGAAAGCCGCCAATTTTATTGGACCAGTGCGACTATTTTTTCCAAATTCCTAAAATTAGGTGGAATCCAGATACATTCCAAAATGTTCTAATACATCCTGTCTTAATTTTGGATACATTCATCAACATTTCGATACATTACATAGCAGTTTTTGATACATCACTCAATGACTTAATACATTGCGTACGTCCCGATACGTAAATTGATGTATCTATCAATACATTACGTAAAGTAATATATACGAGAATATGAGAGAATAGATACTAATGATATGGTAGGAGATTTTAAAGCATGTGATAAAATAAAAGTTGTATATTTAGGTAATTTTTCATATTTGATGTACGGGACGGTGCAAAATAAGTAAGAGAATTTCATAAATAGCAAAAAGAAAAATACATAATAAGATTTTATAGCTATAGTTTTCGTAATTACGGTCCATAATTATAGTCCCATTTGCTATGGAGACTTCCATT